AGTGTTAGTGTTGGGCTGTAATGATCACAAAGTGAAAATGCAGAAATTCTTTAAAAATCTTCTCTCCCCCATGCCCCCCCCCCCCCCCCATATATTTAGAAGATAAACTAGGCACTTGGTTATGATGAGCATGGGACCTCTTTCAAAATTGTGAAATTTGTGCCCCCATTGCCAGGGGTTTTGGCATTAGGGCTGGGCAATAATGATTATATAGTGAGAATGCATAAATTCTTTAGAAATCCTCTTCTCTCCCCCTGTATATTTAGCAGATAAATCAGATGCATGGTTATGGTAAGCAAATGTGCCTTTTCCAGATTTGTGAAATTTGTGGCCCCAGGGTCAGGGGTTCTAGCGTTAGGATGGGGCTGTAATGATCAAATAGTTAAAATGCATTTGCAATTTAGAATTCTTTTTCTCTCCACCTGTATATTTAGCAGATAAATTTGTGCCTGATTATGAAGAGCAAGAGTGCCTCTTCCAAAATTGTGAAATTTGTGGCCCCAGGGTCATGGGCTCTGAAGTTAGGGACTCTAATGATCATACAGTGAAACTATATATTCTTTGACAATCTTCTTCTCTGCTCCTGGGTTTAAGCAAACAATCAAAAACTAAGTGAATAGTTATGATAAGAAAATGTGTCTCTTTTAAAATTGAGAGAACAAGAGAGACCAATGTGAAAGGGAATACAATTGGTATTTAAGGAGGTTCGATCCTGAGCCTTTGAGCAGATTTTGGTCTGGACCTTTATTTCTAAAATTCTGCATCATTTTTAAGTTCTAACATTAAATCTGGATTTACAATGCAAATTAAACTATATCCAATGAAAAAACCGCGATCAAATTCCATTCAAATAGGATTAAGCTAGGAACTATATTTTGTGGCGGAAGATTTTTTAGAAGAAAATGATCAATTTTTCCCTTTTGAAGTATATACAGTACTGTTAAGTTTAAATTCCTATTTTTCCCTGCTGGTTGCACACAGACATGTTTTTTGCAGTGAAATGTTTTATTCTGGTTCTGAAATATCTATTATGTTATTTCTCATGAATTCTTTCATTATATTGTGACAAATATAGTAAATATACTCTGAAAGTCTAGGAAAAAATTGAGCCAATTTTAACATAAAATTAACACTTTTTTAGTAATATCTAAAAATTTACATCATAGACCCCCACTTTTGTTAGCTCACCTCGACGAAGTCGAGATGAGCTTATGCTATACCCCCGGCGTTGGCGTCGGCGTCCCAGGTTAAAGTTTTAGGAGCAAGTCCATTCCCAAGTAACTACAAGCCCTACCTGGACCAAACTTGCATGGATGATGATTCTAGGGATGGACACTACCACACTTGCTTCGGATGCTGGATCTGACCTAGATTTTCCAGATGAGTGACCAGGTTAAAGTTTTTGGAGCAGGTCCATTCCCAAGTAACTATAAGCCCTACCTGAACCAAACTTCCATGGATGATGCATCTAGGGATGGACACAATCACACTTGCTTCAGATGCTGGATCTGACCTAGATTTTCCAGATGAGTGACCAGGTTAAAGTTTTTGGATCAGGTCCATTCCCAAGTAACTATAAGCCCTACCTGAACCAAAGTTGCATGGATGATGCATCTAGGGATGGACACTACCACACTTGCTTCAGATGCTGGATCTGACCTAGATTTTCCAGATGAGTGACCAGGTTAAAGTTTTTGGAGCAGGTCCATTCCCAAGTAACTATAAGCCCTTACCTGAACCAAAGTTGCATGGATGATGCATCTAGGGATGGACACTACCACACTTGCTTCAGATGCTGGATCTGACCTAGATTTTCCAGATGAGTGACCAGGTTAAAGTTTTTGGAGCAGGTCCATTCCCAAGTAACTATAAGCCCTACCTGAACCAAACTTCCATGGATGATG